TCTGAACAAAGTTGTTCCCAGGGAGAAAAGGGCTGTGATGTGACCTGACCCTGTGCGTGTGGGCCTCAGTACACATGCACTTTTACATGCACATACGTGTGCCTATATTTCTGGTGAGCACAGAATTATAAACCAAAGCCATCACTTTGTTTTTCTGGTAAGAGATTGATAAAAACTATTATGGAAGCCTGCAGCTTGGATAATAGACACAGTGATTCATTTGGGTTGCCTCTCCCATCTATAGGAATTTGGGAGGATTTGACTCTAAAATAATACTTCTTTGGTGAATGCATAGGTGACGTGTATCCTGTAGGCAGAAGAGACACTTTCATCAACTCACTCTCATCAACTCAGCCCAGTGACAGGTCTAATGTCAGCTGAGTACTCATGCTGCTCTTTGCATTGACTTTTCAAAGATCAGCTTACATTGGTGGCCAATTCTCACAAGTGGAGAGGACATCCCAGTATACTAACCTCATCTCTTTTCCTGTCTTTATTTTCTCTTCATCTTGATATACAATGTACCTTTTGAAAAGTCTTCTTGTGTTATAAGACTGAACCCAAGGACAACTCGGTCACTTTTATTTGTCCTACTAAGTACCTGAAACTTCAGTGTGGCAGGCCTTGGGGTAGCTCTCACTGTGGCTCCACCAGCCCTGGGTGTGTGTCCCCATCTATGGGAAAGAGATCCCCTTGGTCTCAAAGGCTTGTGCTTTTGATGCTCTGCAGTGTGTATTTCTGAAAATATGTATAAAGATGATTATCAGGACCAATTTCTTCTGTTCTCTCAATTTTTTATTTAAAAATAATTTCAAACCTAAAGAAAAGTTGCAAGAATGAGAATAGTACAAAAAAATACCCTTATAATTTACTGATTTCTTAAATTACCGCATTTGCTTTATCATATCTTCCTTGTCTCTGTCTTTCTCTAAATACATGTATCTATCTATAGATCGATGATGGATGGATAGATAGATAGCACTCAAGTGAGCACTGTTAAAATTTTTAATATTCCTCCATGGTAACATTTTCATTGTTGGTAGAGGAAAATGCTCTGATGCTGAGTCCCTCATATCTGGTGCTTTTGGATTTTATAGGAATGTCTTTTTGAACAGAAAATTTTCATTTGGTTTCAGAGAAGAGACTATGGCTATAAAATATGGTGCATTTATTTATTAATATGAATTTTCCTTACAATGGTAGTCATTATTCTGGTTTAATATGTCACCGTTTGAATGTAGTTGAACATGGCAATTCTTAGCCCCTGCTCAGTGCACCTGGGAAACTTTCTACTTTCAACATCTAAAGAAACTGTATGTAATAGTAAAATGGTATCTTGCTGAAGTTTTGTTTATGTTTATTAGAATTTGAGGCATTATAAAATAATAGATAAAATAGTATATGTTAATGTAATATATAATAGTCAATGCAACTTTCCTTGGAGGACATGGGTGGGAAGGCGGAGAGTGTATCCAATACTCTGTGCATTGTCACTCATTATATTAAAACATGTTTCCGTGGCTTCCCACTGCTGGCTGCCTAAGAGCTCTTTAACATGCTCCGCTCTTTGGTGGAGGTTCAGGAATGTCAGTTGGTTGTTGGTTTGCTCCTGTGTCCTTCCTTTGTCCCTTTCTGAATTGATTGAAGTGTGGAATTTGTGCTGCCTTTTGGGCAANTTCTTAAAATGTGTGTGCATTGTTTTTGTCTCTCTCTCTCTCTACACACACACACACACACACACACACACACACACACACACACACACACACACGGTCTCACCAGATTCTTCACCACACTAGACCACAAATGATTATTTTTGTTTAGCTGTATGGACAGCATGGATAGCCCTCAGGGATGCTTAGTAAAATTATTGATTAGTTGTGTTGTGTTTTGTTTAAGTAATGGGGAGTAAAAAGGTAATTAGGAGAGAAATGTGTCAGTTAAATTTATATATATATATATATATATATATATATATATTTGGTATTTAGAACTTAGTGTGAGGTTTACTTTTAATATTAATTTGTGTTATCTGTGACAGTGAGTGATTTTATTTTATAGATTCACTATGTTTTCAAATGAATGGGATTCAAGTAAGGATTGTTTCCTCTCAAAGGAAGTATATAACTCATTATTTCAAATTGTTTTTGGTGTAAGCCTGGCTAGATTCCTACCTTCCCCCAATCTGTTGTACTCTTTATATCTAACTGTGGAAAACCAGTGTCCAAAATAAAGGACTTCCCTTATGTTCTCCTATACCCTCCGCTGCACGCTCACTTCAGTGCTGTCACCTTGACTCAGTTCACTGAGACTGTGTCCCTGTGGCAGTGATGTCCCCCCTCAGAAGGCTCCACAGAGTAGCTCACACTTCCTCTCTGTCCTGGCATTTGTTCTGCTCCCAGGGCTGGGCCTGGTCATTGGATCCAGTTTCTCTTTCCTCTTCAATTCTTCTGTGTCTCCCCTTAAAGTTCTCCTTGCTCTTCAAACATGTTGCTCCTAACCGTAGAAGGATGTCTCAGATCTGTGATTTCTCCTGATTGCTGTCTCCTAATTCTCATTTTTCTCTCATTCAGCAAACACTTATGGGTTTCCTCCTGGGTGCCAGGCACTGGGGCTGAACCCCGATCCTTCTTTCAGTGTAGCCTGTGGAATGGCTACTGCTCACACCTTCATCCACTGAGCTCCCCTCCTCCCTCGTGAGTCTCATGAGATTATCAACCGCTGGTTCTCCTGTGCGGGGCCCGTCTTTCCACATACCCATCTGTCCTACTTGACTGTTACAGACTTGCACTCTAAGCCACTTCCCCCACCCAATAAATGTATGGTAACTGTGCTGAAGAGTGCATATTCTTCAACGAAAATGTTGTGTACGACACTCAAAGGTGTTGCAAGTTGCGAATAGAGGATTCGTTGTTCCCCAGCTATTTATACTATGATGAAATGAAGTTACAGAATCCGGTGTGAAATGTTCTATTTAAACATCAGTAGCCAGGCTGAAATTCACATAATGAGGACGGTTTTCATCGCATTTTTGTGTATTCTCTGCCACTCGCTGGCCCCAGATCCCCAGGCCCAACCCACCAGCTCCAGCCCTTGATAATAGAGTCTGGGCCTCAACCATGTTTCATCATGTCCTTCAGTTAGCAGGTTCCCCACTCCAATCACTACATTCCGTAGCTGTAAATTAACATGTAGAGTGACTTGTGAGGATTCTTTTTTCTTATTTGAAGACTGACAACATTAAGCTTTTCAATGCATGTTCAGTACTTCCTGGACATCCAGATCCGTCCTAGTACCACTTATCTGAGGAGTCTGACTTCCTCTGTACCAGTGGCCTGGGGCAGCTGCTTGAGCCTGTGAGCCAAAACCTTTTGGTCACTAAAGGTTTTTTTAATTTCAGGGGAGTATGTGTGCAGTGAATCTACTGTTGGTTCATTATGATTTGAATCAGTTTGTAAAGAAATATTCAAAGGCGTGATGCTCTCAGGATGCTCCAGGGCATGTTTACAAATTAAACAGCTATTTTAAAAACCATAACATTTATAAATGTACCAGCCATATTTAAAACACCCACTGGGGAAATGGTAACTTAAAACAATGGTTTTTACGTGCGTCTGAAAATCTGCCTACAGTAAAGTGAAACTTCCAAATTTGCAGGATTTTTCTTTCCGTAATTCAATATTCCATGAGTATGTTTTACAGGGATACATTAAGACACTCGAGGTCAAGAGTAAGTCTTGAGATCTATGGTACTAATAGAGCTTGGAAGTGAATGGCAAATAAGAATGTGTATATGCGTACTGATTAGAATCTTCTTTCTCACCAAGTAAGTTCCTGGCACATAATGGCCACTCAATAAAAGACTGAGGAATGGATGAATGAAAAAACTAAATGAGAAGACTCACGCTATGTCATATTCCCCAGAGCAACAAAACAAGATAAAAAGTAATCAACTCAGACAATTATTATTTTAGTTTACTCAAGTCAGGTAGCTTAGTTCATATATACTTTTCCTTGCTACTAAATTAACTGAGCTGAGGGAACTCATGGACATAAATTCAGGTATTTTTAATGAGAAACTCAAGCCAAGTAAAGAAAGTGAATATGCACTGAGTGTTAAGCAGAGATATCTAGGTTTATGTCTCTATCTCTTATTTTATTCATTCATTCATTCATTCATTTCTTTCTTCATGCTTTTCTGACTTGGGATTTAACAAAGCCAAATACCTGAAGTTATGGGTTAGAATTAGTGAATTCATTTGTGTGTAAATAGGCTCATTGTAAGGGCTAGTTTATAATCTGCAACAGATATCTGCCATACTTTTATTATTACTTTGTTATCACTTTATAACATATGAAGTATTTAATACTGTGGAGGAAGTTGCTTATCCACTACATCAATCTCAAACTCTAAGTCAATAGCGCACAATATTGTGTACATAAGAACAGTCTGAATGCACTGGCTTTATCATGAATCAGAAGGATAACAAGGGAGGAGGGTTAGCTCCGTTTCTTCGTGGTACATTGCCATCATATTAAGCCTGTGTATTCATAGTTCACCAAGCACTTTCACATGTTGTCTCATTCAGTCTTTGACAGACCTCGTGATGTAACTAATATCATCCTTGTACAGATGATGAAACTGAGCCTCACAGTCTGTGGTGTCATTTTTATAAATGTTCAAGTCCACTAAGTTGTAAGAAAAGGTCTTTCGACATCAAGTCTCACCTCCTTTCATTGTGTCACATTTGCCTCCATAGGCATGTATCAATTAGTGGTAAAAAAAAAAAAAAAGCATCAAGGGCCGGCCGAGTGGCACGTTGATTAAGAGCTGGCTTGGGATGCNTATCAAAATATTCCAGTGTTACATGAGTTGTAAGGAAAAGAAAATGTATTATTAAGTGTCTGAAAGAATACACGGTGACCTGCCTACATGCTGTTGCCTCGCCTCTCTTTCTTGCCTTTGCATTTCCCTCTCATCTCATCTCCCTCTGTTTCAGCTAGCAGTGAGGTGGTTGGAACACAACTGCCATTACCAGTACATGGACGAGCTCCTGCAGTATATCCGCTTTGGCCTGATGGATGTGGACACTCTCCATACAGTTGCCCTGTCCCACCCCCTGGTCCAGGCAAGTGAGACTGCAACAGCTCTTGTCAACGAGGCCCTGGAATACCACCAGAGCATCTATGCTCAGCCCGTGTGGCAGACTCGCAGGACTAAACCAAGGTTCCAGTCGGACACTCTGTATATCATCGGTGGGAAAAAACGTGAGGTCTGTAAAGTCAAGGAACTTCGGTACTTCAATCCTGTTGACCAAGAGAACGCTCTCATAGCTGCCATTGCCAACTGGAGTGAGCTGGCCCCCATGCCCGTGGGAAGGAGCCACCACTGTGTGGCAGTCATGGGGGACTTCCTGTTTGTAGCAGGAGGGGAAGTTGAGCATGCCAGTGGCCGGACGTGTGCCGTGAGGACTGCCTGTCGCTATGACCCCCGCAGTAATTCCTGGGCAGAGATAGCACCCATGAAAAATTGCCGAGAGCATTTCGTGTTGGGTGCCATGGATGAATACCTCTATGCAGTCGGGGGCAGAAATGAACTGCGCCAGGTTCTGCCGACAGTTGAGCGGTATTGCCCCAAGAAGAACAAGTGGACGTTTGTGCAGTCCTTTGACCGATCCCTTTCGTGTCACGCTGGCCATGTGGCGGATGGGCTACTTTGGATATCAGGTAGAGCATGCCTCATACGCTGGGTTTATTAAAAAAAACCAAAAACCAAAAAACTTTAATTGTGGCATAAATGGAAAAGTCTAACTTTGGTTGTGTGGCCATGTGTAATTGAATGAATGGGCCAAGGATGCCATTTTAATTAATTAGCATTCATTTATTTTGCACCTACTCTATACAGAGCAATGTAATGGGAATCAATTGACCTTTCTGTGACTTCCTGAGTGATGAGTGGGGTAAAAATTCAAGATAGAAATTAATGGCCCATCACACCTCGCTTTCTACCTAACCCTGTGTTGTTTAGATTCTCAGCTTTTGATATTCATGGCTTGTTTTGCATACCTTGTAGTTTATCCAGGTCCATTGCTTTTAGTTTCTCCCTGGGCTACTGGACTAGGAGCCTTTCACCAAAGACAGGGCAGGAGAAACAAAAGCCCAGTAAACCCATTTTGATGAGTATAGCAGTGGGTATATATCCAGGTGAGAGCATTGCTATGCATTGAGGAAAGGGATTTAAATTATTGGCTAAAATAATGTTTTGTGTTATCTATGTAGTTACTCATGGCGTCCTAAACCTTCATTCCTATCACTCTCCCATTCCGCCTGATTATTTGGGGGGGTACTATTATTTTAGTTTCCTTTTTCCTTTTTCCTTTTTTTTTTTTTGAAGTCTTTATTGACAAAGTAGAGAGACTAGTATAATGAACTCCATGCACCCAGAACCCTTGCTTCAGCAGTTATTCCTTCATTGCCAGTCTTGTTTCATCCATACCCACATACTCCTTCAAGTGCCTCACAGCTGCCTTTTCACTTGTATAGGAGTCAGTGAGACAAGATCACATTACCCACCTGTGTTTCCAGTTCTGTCATTGAAAAGACCTAGAATGTTCCCCTTTGAAAGGTTTGCCTATTGGGGAAGAAAGTTGCATCTTCTCTTAGTTAGAGGATACTCATTACGTAACCCAAATGGAACTTGTTAAATGAATTTCCATGTCAAGGACAAAGGAGAATCAAGTAAGTACAGGAAGTCCTCACTTAACCTCCTTGGTAAGTTCTGCAATAAGTGAAACGACATATAATGTCCACTTTTACCACAGGCTCATTGACATAAACAAGAGTTCAGTTCCCATGACATCTCATCAATGTTATAACAAAGTGACATTATCCGAGGACCTGCTGTACTAAGAGTAACTTTGAGATGTTTGTACCTAGAAGAAGCAATCATTTTTAAGTACACCTGTGGAGGCCCCTCAGTCTCCCTCAACAATCTTCTCTGTTTGTTTAACATCTGCTCTGACAAACTTCTCCTTTGCATTTAAGCTAAATTTGGTTGGACACTGCCCATTTTTTCCTTCTGCTGTCTTCAGTACCCAGGGAGACAGCCACAGTCTCACTTTTTCTGGATTATGCCTCAATTATTGGCAGTTTCATTGAAAAAAAAATGGCTCATGTCAGGGTTTAAATGGTTGCTGTTATGAATGAAGCTAAGATTAGGACTAAGGAAGAGGATAATGAGGTGGGCGCAACAATTACTGGCCCTATATGCCAAATAAACATTAAATGTGAGTATATATGTTAGTATATAGAGATATAGTTAAATAAAAGCCTCATTTATCTGGTGACTTATTCCCTTTTCTTTAAGTACATATTTCAATAGTTTAAAAAAAAACATTTTATATGGGTTTGTATAACAAAATTCATTTTGTATGAATGTCTCATAAATATTTTCATAAATGTTTCCTTTTTTTTAGCTATGAAATGAGCTTTTTTAAAAATACTGGAGTTTCCCTTACATAGTTTTAAAGATTGACTACTTAATACCTTCTTTAGTGAGGCCTTAAGAAAGCACAGAAGCTTATCTTAGACTGGCTAAATCTGTCATCCTGGTATTAAGCTGACTCCTCTTTCAATATGAATCTGTATATTTCCTTTTCCATTTTATTAAATGTATCAACTTATTAGAGATCTTATTGCTATATCACTTTGTTTTCCCCACTGTGAAAGGAAATACATTTTCTTTGTTCTTTTTCTTTTTTGCACTAATGGATGCTGCCTGTGTATACCATACTTAATGAAAACAATCACAATTTTCTCAGGTTTGCTTCTCCCTACTGTGTACTTGAGATGAAAAACTCACTTCCCTATGTACAGTGCAGTACCTTTAATTGGAAAGAAGAGGAAATCACCAGTGACATTTCTAATACCTTCAGTCGCCTGCCTCTTTCCTCATGCCCAGCTTATAATAAATCAATTGTGAATCTAACCGTGGATAGGGAGGGGTGACTGGATTTGCTAATGGACCCTTTGAAAAAAAAAAAGGTATATTTCACCCTCACTATCACTGATTTCGAAGTGTTACCCTGATTTATTGGAGCAGATGAAAATGTTTGAGGCTATTCCTTATCCTTTACCAAATAATCAAGTATTTCCAATTTAATTGATGAGGGATTGGGTCATTGTCATTCTTCTGGTATTTTGGAAGCTTTGCCTGAGGTGGAGGTAGTAAGAATTATAGAATGTGGATTTTCAGGCCTTATTTTTGTTCCATAGAATGCAAAATTAATGCTTCTTTAGAGACTCATAATTTCCAGCATTCTCACTCCCTCCACATACCCTCTTCCCTTTCTCTGCCCATTTCAGAGTCAGGACACCTTGAAACCTGTCCATGGTTTTTAAAGTGGCACAAGCAGAGACGAATTCAGAAAATCAGGTTATATGGATATGCCCATTAGCATTTAATTGAAGATGTTAGAGACAGTCGGATTTTACAGGCTCCTGTAGCATTTGACACGGTGACCCAATTCACAAATGCTCCACATCATTTCTGCTTGAAATTCACAATACTGAAGTAAAACAAGCATTAAATATGCCCCAGTTGTGCCTTAAAAGGTATGCTCTCCTTTGCGTGATATTGTTTGTGAAGTACTGAAAAGCTCCTTTTTTGTGAGTGCGGATTAATTCTGAGCTCATCTTACGGAACAATTTACCTTTTCATTTTTGTCAAATGGCAGCTGGATAATGGGAAGCTAACCACAAAATTAGTGCTTTAAAACAATAAAGGTAAGACAAATGCCACTGCATTTACACAAAAGCAGTATTTTGAGCTTTCTTGATGCTTTTGGTGAAGCTGCATGCTTATTAAGTCTAGTGATGGTTCACAGATAAGATTAATTCAGCAAACACCCTTCCTGCCCTCTAGGAGCTGACAATCAAAGAGTTTTGAAGATATTTCATTAATGAAAGAACATGTGTTAAAGCTTCTTTAGCTCCCTAGAAGATATGTTTAGTTTCATCTTGATTAAATTTAGATGAAGCTTTTGCATTGCCCCATTTTAAATAACTTTAATTTATTCAAACCTACTAAAGGGACTTTGGCTTTTCTAGTAGTCATTAAAATTAGAACAATGTAAATTTTCATTACCATTTCTAAAATGCCATGGCTTTAGATTTGCACTCTCTGTGCAAATATTGTACTTGCATCTAACAAATTATGTACAAAACATTGGGAATGAACGGGGGCATGGCGGAGGCTCGATGGTGAGCACTGGGGCACAGACTACTGTCACACACACAGGAAACTTGCTCCACTTCTTAGCAACCAAGAGATGCTGAGGGACGCTCGTCACCTCATTGAGTCTTGTTCTGGGCTAGTGCCAGAGCAACAGAGTAGAGTGAGACATACGTCTTATGATGGGCCTCTTGGTATAACAGAGGGAACAGGATTTTAAAGAGATAATTATAGGATAGCGTATACTATGTGTGATGATAGGAGACTTTCCAAGGTACGGAAGTGCAAAGCAGGGAGAAATTAGCGCAAGGGGCATGAGAGGTTTCACACAAGTTTGTAGCACCTTCAGCCTGACTTGACGGCAGGTCCATTGGCTACTTCTCACTTACTTCCCCATTCCCCCTCCCTGTGCTCACGCCTGGGCTTCATGATGCAGTCACCCCAACAGTTCTCTTGCCCTCTGGCAGGCACACAGTGTGTCTGTGCAGCTGAGCCCTGTGACAGGATGGCTGGCATGGCACACCTTCAGTTCCCAGGGCCTCTCTGCACCCTACACTAGTCCCTCACCCACTCTCCTTCACTGGCTAGAACTTCCTCACTTTCCTCAAAACCTTCCTCAGACCCCGAGAGAGACCCTTGCCCTCTCTTTCTCAGAGCAAATGTAAGTGAGGTTGTCACAGCAAACCTGGTGAGATACAGTGAGGTGACAGACAGTGAGCAAGAGATGGTCTGGAAAGGGGCCAAGGGCAGATGGTTGCTTAGCACAGGTGAGGAGGGTGCAGAGGAGGGGGGACTAAGGCAGGAGCCTGGGAATGTGGGATGGACAAGGTCGGAGGAGGAGTGTTAGAGAAACAAAGCCACAGCAGAAGGGCACAGTGAGAGGGGCCCAATGCTAGAGGGACACCAAGGTCCTCCATGTTTCAGTCAGGAACGATCTGGTAATTACAGTCAAATCGTTTCAAAGAGTGGAAGAAGGCAGAAGCTGCAGTGCTGGGGATGAAAGTGTGGATGGAACTCAAAGAAGTAAAACCTGCAGGTGTGGGCAGAATTTGCAAGAGGCTGGGGCGTCATCTCAACTTCCCTCCCTGAACCTGAGCTTGCCAGACAACACTCCGACCATTACGCTCCCGCCTGCAGGGAGAGAACGTGCTGTTTCTAGGTACACACGGATGTCAGTTCATGTGACAGCACGTTTTTCCATTATACATTAATAAGTAGCATTTTGGCTTTAGGAAGGAAAAAGAAAGGTAGGAAGGAAAGAAAAAGAAGGAAATGTGGCAGAGAGAAGAGAGAGTAGCTAGAGGAGGAAATTCAAGGTCAAAGGAGGGAACTTTTTTGTTTGTTTGTTTTTAAGATTCAAGTGCATGAAGCAAATGTATGGATAAGGGAAAGGAGAGAGTGGAATGGAAAGTGAAGGGAATGGGGGCATCCTTTGGTTGGTAAATGCTGAGAGCACCTCCCAGGTACCAGGAATGGTGATAAATCTGGGGGATGC